CATTGAGTTGTAGGAATTCATTATATATTCTGGATATTAACCCCTGCTATAGACTGAATTGTATCCCCCCACAAAATTTATATGTTGAAGCCCTAACTCCCAATGTAATTGTATTTGGAGATAGGATCTATAAGGAGGTAAAGGTTAAATGAGGTCATAGAGGTGGGGCCCTGATTCCATGGGATTAGAATCCTTATAAGAAGAGACATCAGCGAGTTCTATCTTTCTAACACATGAGGACATAGGAAGAAGGTGGCCATCTATAAGCCAGGAAGAGAGCCCTTACCAGAAACTGACCCTTCCAGACTTCAATTTGGAACTTCCAGCCTCCAGAATTGTGAGAAAATAAATTTCTGTTGTTTAAGCCATCCAGTCTATGGTATTCTGTAATGGCAGCATGAATAGACTAATACAACCCTGTATCGCATATATGATTTGAAAATATTTTTTTCCTATTATGTGGGTTGTCTTTTCACTCTGTTGACTGTGTCCTTTGATTCACAGAAAAATTTTGATGTAGCCCAATTTATTTATTTGTCTTTACTTTTGGTGTCACATCAAAGAAATCATTGCCAAATCCAATGTCATAAAGCTTTTCTCCTATGTTTTCTTGTAAGAGTTTTAAATTTAATATTAATAAGGGATGTCTTTTTATTTATTGATGTCTTTAATTCTTTTCAGCAATGTTTTGTAGTTTTCAGTGCACAAGTCTTTTGATTCCTTGGTTAAGTATAATCCTAATATTTTATTGTTTTTGGTGCTGTTGTAAGTGAAATTGTCTTCTTAAATTTCTTTTCAGATTGTTCATTCTTAGTATATAGAAACACAACTTAGTTTTGGGTGTGATTTTGTATCCTGCAATTTTGCTGAATTTAACTATTAGTTCTAACAGCCTTTTATGGAATCTTTGTTTTCCTACATATAAGATCATGTCATCTGTGAAAAGAGATAATTTTACTTCTTTCATTCTAATTTTAATGTCTTTTATTTCTTTTTCTTGCCTAATTGCTCTGGTTAGGACTTCTAGTACTATGTTCAATAAAAGTAGCAAAAGCAGATATCCTTGTCTCATTCCTGATCTTAGAGAAAAAGCTTTCAGGCTTTCACTAATGGGTATGATTTCAGCTGTGGAATTTTTATATATAGCCTTTAGTATGTTGAGGTAGTTTCCTTCTATTCATAGATTACTGAATGTATTTTATCATAAAAAGGTGTTGAATTTTGTCAATTTCTTTTTCTGCATCAATTGAGAAGATCATGTGATTTTTTTCCTTTGTTATGTTAATGCAGTGTTTTACACTGATTGCTTTTCTCAGGTTGAACTATGTTTGTATTCCATAAACAAATCCAAATTTCTCATGGTGTATAATTCTTTTAATGTGCTGCTGAATTCCTTGCTAGATTTTGTTGATTATTTTTCATCAGTGTTCATCAAGGACCTTAGTCAGTAGTTTTCTTTTCTTTTTTGTTTTGTGAGGAAGATCAGCCCTGAGCTAACATCCATGTCAATGCTCCTCTTTTTGCTGAGGAAGACTGGCCCTGGGCTAACATCTGTGCCCATCTTCCTCCACTTTATATGGGACACCACCACAGCATGGCCTGACAAACAGTGCATTGGTGCATGCCCAGGATCTGAACCCAGGCCGCCAGCAGCGGAGCTCACACACTTAACCACTGCACCACGGGGCTGGCCCCAGTAGTTTTCTTTACTTGTAGCTTCCTTGTCTGGCTTTGGTATCAGTGTAATGCTGACCTCATAGAATGAATTTTAAGTGCTCCCTCCTCTTAAATTTCTTGGAAGAGTTTGTGGAAAACTAGTGTTAATTCTTTGTTAAATGTTTGGTAGAATTCACTAGTGAAGGCATATGTGTCTAGACTTTTCTTGTTTGGAAAGTCTTTTATTATTTATTCAGTCTCCTTACTAGTTATAGATCTGTCCAGATTTTCTATTTCTTTATGATGTAATTTGGTAAGTTGTGTATTTCTAGAAATTTTTTCTTTCATCTAGGTTATAGCTGTATTAAATTTTTTGAATATGCAACAAACCATTTTTCCTCCAAAAATCTATTGTCATATATGAGATTATATTCCTGTAACTTTTCTAGTTTTTTCCTTTAGCCAAAATTCACATTTTTAGTTAGAAGGATTTTGGATTTTGTCCTGCAGACTCTTTTCTGTATCTTCTAAGACTTTCTTCATGATTACTTCTGGTATACTCTCCTTTTCTTAATACATGCAAATAACGCTTTCACCTCTTGATATCTAAAGTCACAGCACTCTATAAAGTAAGTTAACCACAGGGGAAAGTTACTATTTGGTTTGAAAACTTGTACAGTAGCTGCATTCTTATCTAGATTTGAGGATAACTATTAGTATCACAAATATCCTTCTGGACAAGTAAGATTTATACTTTCATTATAGGGAGACTCTTTAATTTCAAGATTTCATCATTTTTTCCCAAATACATACCAATTATATACTATACCAACATATAGTCACTCTGCACAGATGGCTACAAATTGTCGCATCATTACAACATGGATTGCAGAGCAATTTTCTAAACATATCTTTCCCTTGTCTTATGTTCTGAAGTTGAAATTACAAATGAGTTTCTTCATCACAGGTAGTGCTCCTATCTGGTTCATCTTTTTCTTTCTAGACAAATTACAGCTGAATTTTCATAGAAAGATAGTGATAAAGGTACTGGGTTATATACCTGACTTTGACACTGTGGTAAGCAAAATGACCCCCTAAAGATGTCCATGGCCTCTGAAACCTGTAAACATTTTACATTACATGGCAAACGGGGCTTTATAGATGTAATTAAGGTAGGGAGATTATTCTGCATTATCCAGGCAGGCCCAATCTAATCACTTAAGCTTTTAAAAGCAAAGAACATTTTTTATCTAGAGTCTGAGATGCAGCAGAAGGATAAATCAAAGAGGTTAAAAGCATGAACTATATTTGACCCACTATTGCTGGAGGGAGCCACATGGAAAGAATGAGAAGGAAGGTGGACAGCATCTAGTAGGAAAGACTCATCCCAGCCAACAGCCCACAAGGTAATGAGAACCTTAGTCATATAACCCCAAGCAACTCAATTTTCCAGTAAATTCAATGATCTTGGAGGTGTATTTTTCCTAGATCCTACAGTAAGAAACACAGCTCTACCAACACCTTTGATAAGAGCCTCATGAGACCCTGAGCAGATGACCTAGTTGAGTCCACCCAGAGTTCTGATCCTCAGAAGCTGTGAGATAATAAATTTGTGTCACTTTAAGCAGCTAAATTTATATTAATTTATTATGGCAGTAACAGAAAACTAATACTGACACTCACGATTTGTGTGACTTTGGAAGGGTTAACTAACCTCTTTGGCCTTTATGCCCTAACTACTTCATTAAATATTTATTGAGTGTTTTGTATGTGTTATTAGTCATTCAAAGACATCTGTGGAAAGATACAAAGTTGAATAAAACATAGTCTCTATCCTTATCTAGAGGAAGTACTACAGATGATAGCTAAGGTATCTTCAGGCACTAAAATTTTATAACTATATTTTAAATATTTATTACATGACTGCCAATAATACTTTAAGGAAGCTGAATGATGGTGTTTAATCTCCTGTTTAAAATAGTTCTTGACTCATAGTACTGAGATTTGAATGCTTAGATGGTGATGGTCATTCTGAACTTTTAATATACTCCTGTAAAAAAAAAAAAACAACATCTTACAATAAATAGAAAATTGAAGTAGATTACATGGAAAAATGACATGGAGAAATATGCACCATAAATCTAATAATGAAAGAATTAAAAAGAAATCTTATTAGAAAAATAAAACATAATTTTGTTTGGTTTGTAAATTTTATATTTTATTTCAGAAAAAAATTAAAATTTTATTTATAAAAGAGGGTTTTTACTATCAGGCAAAAGAGTTTGAATTACAAATATTTCATCTTGATGTCCATAGATATAGGTGATATTTTAAATGAATGGCATAATTCCTGAACAACAAAAAACAATGACTTTAGCAGTTGGAGCAATTTCAGAAAGTTTTACATTCATAAAAAAGTTGGTTTTCATTTTAATATCTGAATTGGAATTAAACATGCTAAAGATTGTTCTTAAATATTACAGGATTTAAAAACAATATTAGGAGACATCTTTATAAGTAATAATGTTGACTTTAAACAAATAGAAAGTTATTTCTCCAGCAAAAATGGGTTTATTCAGGATAAGCAAAGAATTGCAGTTTAGGATCTGCAAACATGATGAGCCACATGAAAGTCCCCAGCAACAACGGGAGGAAAAACTGTTTTATAGAGGGGAAGAGGAAGTTGGGAGGGCTATTGTAAACAAAGAGTTCAAGGTAGAGTGGCTTTTCATAAACTGAGTTGTGGCAGTCTCTCTTGTTGGCTGAGCTTCTTGTTGGTTAAGAAGAGGAAGACTTTCTTCTTCCTGTTGGGCTCTGCTACTGACATAGGGCTTGAGAGCTCCCCCTTTTGGCCTCCCAACTCCAATTTAGAGAGGTTTCAGTTTATTAATTTACACATTTTCCCTTTTGATTAAGATTGTTCTCTGAAAGCATCACTGATCAAGAATCAGGTTTTTCTGGTTTCAGCAGCCTTTTGTCCCTTGATGCCAGGAAGAAACTTTCCTGGGTGTCGTGTCCCACATCAGAGGGAAAGTGCAGAGATTGGAGACCTATTGTGGCCACATTTGAGTAACAAAGAAGGGTAGAAAAAAGAACTTGCAGGTGTTATTCTTTTCTAAAGTCCATATGTTATCAAGATCATAAGCATTGGAGATCATGTGAAGCATGTCATCCTGAAAGGTTTGACAGACAAATTTTCCACAGGCCTGGTCTGGACATCTTGAGAAAGCTGTCTCATGAGATGTTGTCTACTCCTGTTCTGGGAAATACTTACTTTAAGGTCACCAGACGATGTGCAGTATCAGTCAGTGTTTGGTGCTTTCTTTAGGTGTGGCATGTGAATACAAAAGTCTATTCCCTGGAGTTTTGTGGCACAAGGGTTAGTTAACAGTACCTAATATGAGCCTTTCCAGCGAGGTTGAAGAGAATTCTTCTGGAGGTGTTTTCTTCCAATAGACAGAATCTCCAGGTTGCAAGGTGTGATGCTTAAGGTACTGGTTTAGCCCATTAATAAACATAGAGTTAAAAGCTACCCAGGTGGAAGCAACATCTGAAGGAAAATCAGAATTTTATTTAAAAACAATCTGAAGTCTATTGTAATAGTCATGAACAGGTTCATCAGGTTTTTGTCCACAAACTTGAATTTTGTTCCAATCAACAGGCTTTGGGACAGCCCTAGGAATTACCTGATGAAGTGATCTAGTGATTGCCTGAGCCTGATCATACAAGTCAGTGGGATGGTCTCCTTGTTGTAATTTTAGAGACCTTTCAGGGTTTTCCCAATTAGTGGTTTTCATCCAATGCTGGGCCTGACCTTCACAGACAAGAATATGAACTAGCTGATATAATTCGGAGAAACCAGGTTAATAAGTTTTAATGACTATATTAAATAGCTTAGCAACTCTGTGAGAATCTTTGGTTACTTTGGGAAAATCTTTGACTATGGCTTGAAGTTCAGCTTTATTCCAGGGAGTATAAGAAATTAAGAGTTTAGCCTTTAGATCATCAGAAGGCTTAATTTTAAAGGGACAGATTCTGATAGGTTCAGAGGAAGAAGGAGTGGGGATAGGAACAGGGAAAAGTGGAATCTTGGCAAAACAATTAGTAGAGGGAAACTCAGGGTATAGAGGAGGTGTAGGTGGTATAGAAGCAAAGGAGAAAAATATCACTGGAGGCGGGTCCTGAACACTAGGAGCCACAGTAGAGGAATATGATAGTGCTTGAGGTGAAGCCTGAGACAAAGAAGACAGGGAAGAGAAATATGAGGCTTTGAATGCCATTTTATCTTTCTTTAATCATTTGTTTGCCTCAGTTAATCTTAAAATTTTATTTTGTAAAGAGGCAATTTTCAATTCCTGATAACTTTTGGAAGCCTGAAAATACCAGTCAAAACAGACATGCCATTCAGTTTTGGAAATTACAGAGCTATGGTTGTCCAATTTGGTTTAAAAAAAAAGTAAATTTGGGGAGTCAAAACTTCCCCACAATGGCCGTTGGTGTTCTAAATTATTTTTGGTTAAGTGGGTCCATTTAGTTAGAAATGCACATGAGGAATGACCTCATTTTTGAAACATAAAATCAGCCTGGGTGCCTGTAGAGGGGGGCACCCTAAAAATATTTAGATAACTGGAATCCCATTTCTCAGAGGTTTTTCCCTGGAATAAAAGAATAGTTCTCAAACAACCTAAACAGATCAAAGAGTTTACATAGCTTGCAACTCAAATGTCTTGAACAGCTCAAACAGCCTGCAGGCCTAATACCAGCCGGTTCTAAGGCAACAGTCTGATTTCATTAAGGTGGGCTGAAGGTTGCTCAATGCAGTTCCAATAGAACAGTCTGCTCCCAAGGGAGTTAGGCCAAAGGCTGGACTGACACAGTTCCAATGAAACAGTCCAAAAGTTTGACCAAAGGCTAGCACGATTTCAGTAGAAACAGTTTGGTTCCAAAAGGAATTGGACCAAAGGCTAGTGTAGTTCCAAGGAACAGCCTGATTCAAAGAGTCAGGACCAAGTGCCACCTGAGTACTCACAGACAAACAAGACGTTAACCAGAAAAGGATGAAATCTTAAAATATATCTCAAATAAAGCCTGGAAGAGCCTCAAATGCAGAGGACAGAAGCTCAGATCCAGAATAAAGATTTACCCTCAAACTCCAGGGTTGGCAAGAAAAACAGCAAGCTCAATGGGCTCTGTTGTGGCTACCACACCTGTTTGTTCACCAATCTCAGAGCCATCAGGGGTCTTCTCTGGATCTCTGTACAGGCCACCAAAATGTTGACCTTAGACAAATAGATAGCCAGTTATTTCTCCAGCAAAAATGGGTTTATTTGGTATCAGCAAAGAATTTCAAATCAGGGTCTGCAACAATGGCTAGCCACAGGCAAGTCCCCTGGAACAAGAGGAGGAGAGATTCTTTTATAGAGAAGAAGAGGAACTTGAGAGGGCTATTGTAAACAAAGACTTCAAGGTATAGTGGTTTTTCATTGGCTAAATTGTGTCAGTCTCTCATTGGCTGAGCTTCTTGCCAGTCAAGAAGAGGAAGTCTTTCTTCTTCCTGTTGGGCTCTGCTATCAACATAGCGCATGAGAGCTCCCTCTTTTGACCTCCTGACTCCAATTTAATGTGTTTTTTTTTTTATTAGTTGAAAAAATGGTTCCTGGACCAAATTCCAATGTGTGTGTGCTCGGAGGCTTCCCCACACCAGCAAGCAGTTCTCAGACACCAGTAAGGTGTCTGAGAATTCAACTCAATTCTGTCACTATCTACCCAGAGATAGAATCATATTCGACAGGTAAAGGGCTCAGTTACACAGTGGAGTCATACTCTCCACTTCAGATGCCAGCTGCAAACCCAGGTTGCCTGTGCTTCTGACCAACTGGCTACTAACTGGAGGTTCCAACAACCCCTCCAACTCAGGATGCCAATCACAAGTCCAGGTTGTTACCTGCATTTCAGACCAACTGGCAATAGACCAAAGGTTATCATGACCCCCTCCTCACTTTTGATTAATTTGATAGAATAGATCATAGAACTCCAGAAAACTTGTTTACTCACAAGATCACCAACTTATTACAAAGAATATTAAAGGATACAAATCAATAGCCAGATGAAGAGACTACAGAGCGAGCCCCGGAACAAAGGAGTTTCTGACCTCATGGGGCTTAAGGACTGGCACAATGGCACATGGAAGCATTCTGGTCCCCCAATGTCAAAGCTCTCCAAAAAAGGATAATAAGCTGTCCTTTTGGGTTTTTATGGAGGCTTCATTAGATAGTCTAATAAATGACTAAGTCATTCATCATTGGCAATTGATTCAACCTCAAGCCCCTCTCTCCTCTCTGGAAATCAAGGGGTGGGATTGAAAGTTCTAATCCTCTGATCAAATGGCTAGTGTTCTGGGCAACAATGCCCCCCTTGGATCCAAATGTCACCTTCATTAACATAAACAAGAAATTCCAAGGATTTTGAGAGCTGTGAGTCAAGAACGATGGACAAAGACCACACATATGTGAGAAATATATTTTGGTCATCTTAATGACCAAATATATATTTCTTGTAAATCACAATATTGCAGTCCACCTCCCTGATCTTTGAATATAGATTCCTTATAGCAAAACAATCATAAAAGTCAAAAAATATTGGCACATTACTAAAATCTCATTCAGTCATTAATAACTATCCAGTCCATCATCATATCATATGAGAGTGTTTCCCAGAGCAATGACACTCAGGTTTGCAGGTTTCCATTCGATCCTGTCATGTTTCAAAAGCAGAGATAGTCTTGGAAAACATAGCTTCACCCTTCCAGGCATCTGGCATAATTATGCTGAGAAATAATATTTTTCTCTTGCTCTGAGCCTCTCTCAAGGTATTAATAAAATGTTGGATTTCTCTTGTTGCAACAACCCACTTATTCATTCTTTTACACTCATCTATTATTTCTTCTTTTTTTCATTTGTCATTTGTCTTTACCCAGACTTTTCCACCCTTAGAAGGGGCATTAGCTTCAGCCACTGAGCTGTTCCAGATTGCTGGCAGCAGTATTAGTCTAGCAAGTGCCTCCCTCTCCACACACTCCCACTCACATAGGGTAGGGTTACACAGGTACAGAACTAGTGGGCTGTCCCAACCACTAGCCAACACAGCAGAATTCACCATCAGCCCCAACTTTGCCAGATGGGGTGAAAGCAAAATCCATCCCATCAGGTCCTTAGGAATTCTGACCTAAAGATTTAAAGGTATAGTTACAGTTTCTTTATTAAGAATCATTCCTGCTTCCAGTACCTGCAGTTGCATGCCTGGTCTTGGAACTGTATCACGTAGGAAAAAAGGAATTTGTGGTGATATGGGGAAGAATTATATAGTCACACCAGCATCCTCCCCCATCCCCTCTTCCCCAGATCCCCCAGAAAAGCAGAGGAATCTATCTAGTGTGGACTCTTCCTTAGCCCCCCTCATGTTGAGTGTGAGCACATACTCTTGAGGACATGCTAGCCAGCCTCTCATGTCTTTATTTCTCCCTGTTTTAGAAACAAATGTTTCAACTATCCATTCCAATTTTCTATTAAACCATTACCCTGAGGATAATATGCTGCATAGTATGTCCATCTGATGTGATATCTCTTGGCCCATTGTTGGACACTGTTGGGGGAAGAGGGAGAATCTCCCTCTGCCCTTTTCCTTAAGGTTCTTATGGCTGGCCAAGTAATTAACAAGACAGGTTAGCAGGAGAAAATAGTACCAAGTTTAATAACATGTATACATGGGATAAAGCAGGGACACTGTGTTTCTCAACACAATAGCAGAAATTCTCGTCTTAAATACCATGTTCAGCCAACGACAAAGGAGGTTGTTGGGGGTGGGGGGAGTCAGTTACAGGAGATTACCACTAAAGCACAGTAAACAAGAGTAAGGTTATTATGCAGATTTAAGGCCTCACCTTCCACATTGATAAGCCTCTAGAAATGAGGCCATCCCCCCCTCTTCCCAAAACAGAGAGGGAGATACCTTTACAAATGGAGATTTCCCTTATAAATGTAAATGATTGTCTGGCAACTCCTCGCAGGGCCATCCAGAGAATGTGGCCAGAGAGACAGAACTTCTGATAAGATGGGCTTGTTGGTGCCTTTTCTATTGTAACCTCTATCCTACATTATCTTTACAGCCATCATGATAGATCTGTTCCAGGAAGGAGCCACCATGTCAAATTCTTTAGGCAGTTAGTGGGGGAGGTCAAATGTCCCTCAGAGAAAACAATCAAGGTAAAGAGATATATTTTAGGATGGCCAAATCTTGATCTCCCACAACACTATAGGTTGTAAAGTGCATACCTTGGTCCAAAGATATGTAACTTGGTAGTCCAAATTGGTACAGTATTTTCTGTTCCAATCCTTTAATAGTATTTTGAGTGTTTACATCTACCATCAGGTATGTAAAGCC